CTGGAAATAAGACTTTCCGATTAATTTAAAAACAGCTACAGAAATGTAGCTATAAAATATTTCAATGTGAATGCTGTAATATACTGTATTAGTTATTTAATTAAAATCAGAAACACTAATTAGACAAAAACAAAATAAGGTTTTTTTCCATGGCGTGCCACCAAATTCGCCAACTGAAGGCTTCAGAAATTTAATCTGTTAATATTTAGGCTGAATGAAAACAAAATAATACAAACAAACTACTGGTACTTTAAAATGTCAGTATATTGTACATCAGTAAAGTAAATAAGTTGTACATACCATCTAATTTTGGCTTGAAGAAGTAAAAAAAAATACAACAAAATTCATGATTTTGCACTCTGCAAAAAATCATTATTTTTTGTCTCAAACTTTTATGAGGTAAAAAATTATTTTTTTTATTAGTGTTTTTTATTCAGAATTAAAATGAAACTATTCATTACTGTATGAAAATAGCTCTTACATTTTTAAGTCCACAAAATGTTAAAGAATCTAGGATTTCATCTATGTTTTTTTGACATGCATTCTAGGAAATAAACCAAAAATTTTAAAAAATAATTAAGGCCAGTCATTCTGGACAATTTTGTGGAAAAAACATAGTAAAACTTTGACTTGATCAGTCTCAACCAATTTCTCAAAACTTTTTACACAATCACAAAAAAAAAATATATTCTATAAACAAACAATTTTGAATTAATTTGATTAGCAGGCATTTGTTTTGTTACACTGGTCTGTGGAAACAATATCTACATATATATCTGATCAATTACTTTGCTTGCAACACTGTACTTTTCAAGAAGTCTGTATTCAAAAGCAGTTCTTTACTCACCAGGTTGTTCTTTCCTGTGATTTTTTTTTTCATTTTTTCTTTTTTGTGAAGTGCTGTGGAGAAAAATTAATTAAATACGCTACTTTATATAAATCTAGGATTCTCAATAAGTATGACAATTAATGGTTAGCAAAACAAATTGTGAATGGTTGTAGGACAGGCTATCAATAACCTTAAAATTGTAAAAATAATCTAACCGCCGATTTGCTTGTGACGAAATCAAGATACCAAAAAATTGAGTAGTTATGCTGTCTTTTGCAATGAGTTCATAAGAAATAGCGGCAGCATAGTGATTTAATAATTTATATCGTTTATTTACTCTATCCTGTGACTATAAACCAAGATAATACCACAAACTATAAAAATAAACAATATATATATATATATATTTATATTTATTTATTTATAATATAACAATATTATTTATTTATTATAATATAACAATGAAACCAAAGCCTAATTAGTTGCATAGACAGTATTAGTGGTCTGGTTGTTGGATAGGTGATAGAGTAAGATGCTTATAGCATGTGATGTTGGCAAATTTATCACCATTTAACTTTTATTTACTCACATAGTAGGATAATTGAAACTATTCCTTAAACCAACTATAAATATACATGTGCTAAATAAAGATTATAAATAAAATGAAGATCATAAAAAGTTAACTAATTATATACTGCATTCTAGGCATCTGTTTGTTTAACAAGCAGGCAATAATTTCAACTATCACTCCTATGAACAAAAGTTAAATAATAAAGAGGTTTTCTAGGTTTAGGAAATTTTACTTTTTACACCAAAAATAGGCTGTTATGAACATACTGTATATTTATTTTTTTTAAATTGAGATACCAAGTGAGTCCTATACTACATAATTCAATAACTTTTACAAGGTTTGGATGGAGTTTGCAGTGTTTTCGGAGGTTTACGGTGTATTTTTCACAAAAATTTTTTTTTTATGAACATGAACTTATGAGTCCTATATCACATGATACAATCACAATCATGTACTGTAGTTTGGATGAGTTCTACAATGTGATTTTGGAGGTTTGTGGGGTACGCAGGATTTGCGGGATTTAGCAATACCCGCTACGTCTCGCATCACCTCAGGGCGATAGATTTCACCATTTTCTTGATAAGCAGTCAATATTTGCATAATGTAAAATATCAGTTTAATAATTTAAATTTAATATTTGGTAAAGCAGCTTCTTCATAAAAGGCCTTAAAAAAAAAAAATGTTATGTTGGCGTAACCCGAACTACCCTAAAAAAAATAGGCCAACCCTATACATTTTTATTTAAATTTTACAATACAGGTTTACGTGAACAAAGTAGGCGTGGTTAGGTGTCACTCAAAATGTTTTAAAAGTGTGATATGACAACTATATGCTTTAAAGGCTTATTTAATTGATTTTATAGATTTCAAGGTCCTTGCTGAATATTGTAGATGCAAAAAAAAAAAAAAAATCCCTACCTACTGTACCTACCCTATTTTTTGGGGCCTGTTATGCCAACATAACATTTTTTTTAGGCCTAAGAATGAAGTCAACTTCAGATTACAAATACATTTGTGCATTTTTTTCCCCAATGTGTGTTGTTTGCTTACTTTTTCTGGAAAGTTGTAAAATTTGAAAAGCTCAACTCGCTCTTTCCATTTTTAGTTTTCTGAAAAGAAAAAAAAAAATTGTTGTACTGGTAAAATGAAAATATGTCCCAGGACATTTTTCTATAAAAAAACAACCTTGAATAAAAACTGTATGTACTAGATTTCTAATAATATTTTCATAGAAAATTCATCATCCTTTATAATTATAAATCATTTACTAAATTATACAAAATGTAACATAATAATCGAAGCAGTAGCAACAAACCGATTCAGCGATGTTTGTTTACACAACCAGTCACGTGACATAACTTGGCTATACCATGGTAAACATCAGGCCAAATAAGAAAAATATTTTGTTGGCCATGCCCGCCCTACCGACCCAAAAAGTACAAAATTGAGTTTGGCATTATGGTTTTTTTTCTTTTGTTTTTTTTAATGCGCTAAAAAGGCTGAAATAGTCTACCTTGCTGGATGACAGACGATGCAACAGTTTAGCTCTTAAATATACTGTAGATATTAAAAATGGTCTATTTTGTATTTTTGTGTAATTTGTATTTTTAGGCATGATTGGATACAAAAAAAAAAACATTTTCCTACCGACCCACCAATTTCTTGGATTTCCCAACACAAGAATTTTTTTTGCCTTACTGTGCAATTTTCTTCGTAAACTGGGAGACCATGTGAAAAAACGTGAGAAAAAGAATTGACCAGGCATCAGTTTACCAAAAACAGACATTTCCTGGCCAAAACGGGAGTGTTGGCATGTATAGTTTATTACAGTATATCCAACATCCAAGATAGGTACGTGACAGTCTATTGGCGGGGAGTAGTTATAGGCAAGTCAAGATGGTTAGCAGGACACAAAGCCTTGTTTTACATAAGGCCACGAGAATGAAAGTTTTAAAAACACGATGTATTTTTTCATTTTTCATTATTCATTATTTTTTTTATAAATGCTGTCCACAAGCCGCGGCATTGGTAATTTTACATTTATTCCCAAGAAACAATGCTTACAGTCATAAATGTACACTAGCCTATAAAACAGATCCTTTTCTACATTTAAGACCTCTTTAAACATACGAGATTTCCTATTGGTCAGAAAGATTTGACCTGTAAATGACCTCAGCAGTGATCGGCGATCATGGTGCGATGTGGCCAGGCCTGCCTTCGCTCAGTGTTCGTGACGAATGATCAGTGATGAATAGATCATTTTTCTGTCTGTTTACGGCTTAGAAAGTTTTTTTAAACAAAGTATATTTTTTTTCAAAATAATGAAAATTTTCGTGCAGTAGCTTTTTAGGCATGTGGGCGGTGGACGCAAACCTACAACTTTCATTCCTGTCTGTGGCTTAATAACGTTAAAGAGAAACGAGTTTCAAAAATCGACTTTGTAATATCTATTTCTTTCCAATATTTGAAAGCTAAAAACAAGAAACACAATGATTTGGCATAAAACACTGAACACAGCGAACGCTCATTAGTTAATAGGCCTAGCCTAGGCCTAGTTGGAAGCAAACAGACTCAGTGCTAACTAACAGCGCTCAAGGGTCCTACTAAATACCACACGGAACACACGGGACCACTCGCGACGACTCGGGAACACACGGGTGCAAAAATGATAAAAATATTACCACACCAGAGTAGAAAACTACTTAATAATCAATAGAAACCAACTTTTAGAACGGTAATTATCCGAATTCCGTTAAAAATCGATGTTTCTTGATTTTGTTTTGTTGATTTTTCCCGTCGTGTGTCGGTATGTAATGCGTTGACATTGTGGATCTGTAACGCATTGACGTGTCAGCAGAAACGCATTCAACCATGACCTTCATGTCTGTGTTTCATTTTAACCTCGTTGGTTTCATAGCATCAATCAAGATATGCCGTTATATACTGCTACGTGAACGGTAATAAACTTATTCTACATAAACGAAAATGAGAAATTGAATTTTTATGTATTGTTAGATTGATCGTTTATTTTTATTTTCTGTCAAGCTCGTATATGTTT